TGGAAGATCTTTCAGGGGCAACAGCACCCATGGAACTGTCATCTCCTATAGTAACAATGCCTTCTTCTGGAATCCTTCCTGAAGGATCTTCCTGAGGCTGTCTTGTAGTTAACTTTTTTATTTTTTAATTAAGTAAGAGTACACTCTAAAATAAGAATGAAAATATAAGTACATAAACCAGTAACAGTCATTGCTTATCAAGTATTATATACTGTACATAATTATGTGTGCTAGAATTTTCCATGACCGGCAGCACGGTAGGTTTCCAGCAGCATCATCATGAACATGAGTAATGCACTGCTATGACATCAGTAGGCTGCAGGAATTTTTCAGCTCCATTATAATCCTACAGGACCACTGTTGTATATGTGGTTTGTCACCAGTGAAAATGTTGTTGTGTGCCACATGACTGCGTGTGTGTGTGCATATAAAATGTTAACTTGATCTTTAGTTAAATTATTCAATCTATTTACATTTAATATTATTTATATATATTTGAATTTTAGTTACCATTTTACTATTTGTTATCTACTTGATTCACTTGTTTTATATTCCTTTTTCTCTTAGCTTCATTTGCATTAATTTTTTAGTACATTATTTTCCCTCAATTAACTTGTCAGTTATGCATTTGCCTACTATTGTTTTGCTCTAGAAATCACAACATACATTTTTTGTTATTACTGTCTAAAAAACAAAATAGCCCTTTTCCGCTTTTTTAATAATGCTAGAACCTTCAGATGTTTAAACTCCATCTACTCTCTTCATCTTATGTGTTATTGCTGACATATATTTTCATAAGACATATTGACTTTATACAATCAATATTGATTTATATTTATCAACATATTTACCATTTCCATAGCTTATTACTTAGTGTATTTCTACATTTCATAATCAATTTTGCCAGAGGTTTTTGTAGTCTTTTCAAAGAACCAGCTTACTTAAACATATTATATATATTTTATCATTACTTTCTGCAATTATCTCCTTTCTGTATTCTTTTAATTTATTATATAAATATTTATCCTTTTTTTTATCTGTTTGATCTATCAATAACTAGGAGAGGTGCATTTAAATTGCTCACAAAAGTGATGAATTTATCATTTTTTCCTGTAATTCTACTGATTTTTATTACAAAACCAGAAGCACATAGAAATTTAGACATGTTATATATTCCTGGTAGATTAAACTTTTAATTATGTAGAGGCCTTCTCATAATGCTTTGGCTTAAAACATTTTTTATTCAATATTAAAATAACTCCTTTAGCTTTCTTTGAACAGTATTTTCCTGGTAATATCCTCACTTTTTAAAAATTTTCACTATTCTGGCCAGGCCCGGTGGTTCATGCCTGTAATCCCAACACTTTGGGAGGCCAAGGTGAGTGGATCATGAGGTCAGGAGTTCAAGACCAGCCTGACCAATATGGTGAAACCCTGTCTCTACTAAAAAAATAAAAATAAATACAAATAAAAAAATAAAAAATATAAAAAAATTAGCCAGGCACGGTGGCAGGCACCTGTAATCCCAGCTACTCAGGAGGTGGAGGCAGGAGAATCGCCTGAACCCAGGAGGCGGAGGTTGTAGTGAGCCAAGATCATGCCACTGCACTCCAGCCTGGGTGACAGAGCGAGATTCCATCTCAAAAAAAAAAAAAAAAAATCACTATTTTTGTATATCTGTTGTACATATCTTGTTATAATTTACTTTTTATTTACCCACTCTAACAATCTCTATCTTAAATGATAGTTACTATTTATTCTATTTTATTCATATATTTGGGCTGCCATCTTTATAGTTCTACTTTTTCATCTTTTTATGCTTTTTTTTTTTTTTTTTTGCTTTTCTTTAGACAATCTTGGTCCCACTTTTGAAAAAATTCTTAATTCCTATTGTCCCTCCACTATTTAGAAAACTACTCTCTCCATTCTGATGACGAGTATCTTTGATACTGCAGTGCACACTTAATTTAACAATGCTGAGGTTAACCAATATCTTACAGCTTACAGCTTTTGTCCTGAACAGTTCATGAATGTTAAAACACTGAAATTCGGATCACCCGATCCCAACTTACATACTATCTCTATTCTCTATTTCAGTAATGTATTAAAACTGTCATCGTATTTTAGTGGAGGGCCTTTCAGAATGTCACACTGGGGGAACTGTAGGAGGCAGGGATCTTCTCCCTTTATTTGCTGACCCAGTCTTCGGCTTTTTGCTGGTTTCTTGACTCAGGGTTTACTCCTCATTGTTTGGATGGATTATTCAACTGCCCCACAGCTCTTGTGGGACTGCTTCTCTGTAGACCTGTTGCTGAGGTTCAGCAAACGAACCCAAGCACCAAGCAATTGCTGTAGGCCTCTTCCTGAAATCTTCTCGTTAATAGTCCTTGGACTTGTCTAGGAGAGATGTACAACTGATGAAGAAACCACAAACAGAAGAGCAGAGAAGTTGTCTTACGGGAAACCCTGAGAATCTGCAGTTTTGATTATATTCCTGTGACATGGCCTTTTTTGTAGCGTTGTTATATTCTGCAGAGAACATTACTCAGATTTATTCTCTATTTAAATGTAGATTTGACTATGTTCCTTCATGGCATTGTAGATGGTTGAATCTTCTTGCTTCAGCTACCTGCTACTACAGCTTCCGGAAGTCTTTACATAACCCTACAATGCTCTCAACCTCATCTGAAGAGTCCCTATCTTTATGGATTATCAAATAAATTAGTTTATGCTGATTCCTATTTTAGAATTTGAATTGCATTCCTCCTTCTACCTGAAACCTCGGTGTACACGTGCATGCGTGCACTCACACACACTAAAGAGAATAGAAATTGCACATTAAGAGGTATCTCTACTTTTCCTGGTCTGACAATCACTTTGTTCCTTTTTGTTATTAAAGATAACAAAGGTGGTGTCTAGAGCAAGCTGGGCTCCTCCTTGCTTGATCCTCAGGACTTCCCCAAGGATGAATCAAGTTATTCCACTTCCAAGGAGATGTGCTTACATTTGAAACATTGTATCAGTTACTTTACCACAATAAAGGTTAGTGATCACCTGGGTTGGGTATCCCCTTTTTGGCTCTTTGTCTTTCCCTCTCCCATAAACTAGATTAGTGGGTCAGTCAGCCAACATCACTAGAAATATAAGGAGATGGAAATAATTGTAGGTATATTTCTCTCACCTATTGTGGCTGGACTATTTAGGTCAGCTGAGGGAAGATGCTAGAGGTAAAACAAACTATTTTAAAAATACTGGTGTGGGGTCAGGCACGGTGGCTCATGCCTGTAATCCCAGCACTTCGGGAGGCTGAGGTGGGCGAATCACAAGGTCAGGAGATCGAGACCATCCTGGCTAACATGGTGAAATCCCGTCTCTACCAAAATAACAAGAAATCAACTGGGTATGGTGCTGGGTGCCTGTAGTCCCAGCTTACTCGGGAGGCTGAGGCAGGAGAATGGCATGAACCCAGGAGACGGAGCTTGCAGTGAGCCGAGATCGCGCCACTGCACTCCAGCCTGGGCGACAGAGTGAGACTGTCTCACAACAAACAAACAAACAAACACTGGTGTGGAAGGGCACCAAATTATTAACCTGCCCCTCATGCCATCAGTTACTGTTTCTCAGTTCAGCTTTCATTCTAGAAACTACCATGGAACTGTTAACTCTCATTTGGATTACTGTCCTTCCAGCCAGGTCTGGTGAATCAAAAAAATTTTCAAGTTATTCATTTATTAAATATTATCCCATTTTTCGCATGTGGCAGGGTGGTCCAGAGGCTGCTGCCTTGACTGAAGGGGACTGGAACAACTTGTCTCTGCCATGTCTGGGCTTTTGTTCCTCTTCTACTCTACTGCTCAGTGGAAACAATGTATCTTCTATTAGATCCATGACTTCAGTTGTGCTTTGAAGAGGGCAACAGGTTTCTCAGTGGGTTTTGATTTTAGTACCTTGATATTAATCTGATTTATGAAATTCTTCATGGAGTTCATCTGAGGTTACCAGATTCTGCTCTGGACTATGAGGCCCAAGTCCCAGATAATAAAAATGTATTTTGACTTTATCTCTTGGGCATTTATTTCTCTTGGGACTGTGGTGAAGAGGTTAAATATTTCTTGGTTATTCCTAAATTATCTGGTCAAGTATCCTTATATTATCATTTTTAATGTCATGCTTCATTAGCACATTTCCAACAGCCTGGCAATTCCATTAACTAAGTAGCTTATTAACTTCCTCCAAATAATATCTTAAAAATCCCACCGTTTTCTCCCTCAGAAACTTACTTAGTATAGTATTCAAGGATGCTAGAATTCTACTGCTCACAAGATACTAGAGAGGACCCCTCTGAATACACACCCTGTGCTCCAACCTCCCTGCTCACGCTCAGCTGCACTGCTTCTTTCCTGCTGCTGCAAACTGTGGTTCTGATTGTTCCGATTTGGGAGACATGTCCCTCCAAGAACCTCAAAAAACTCAGTAATTTACAAATCGGACCAGAGATTTCGTGTCAGCCTATGAAACTCTGCAGGGAGATCAGCAATAGGACTATTTGACGTTCCAACAAACTGGACCAGGCTCTCAAGCTTTCCCTCGTGTAGAACTCTGACAGATTCTCATTTATTGGAATAATGCAGATAAAAAGTCAATTTGTTCTGTCACTGCCGGTATTTTATCAACCTTTATAAATGGTTAAGTATGAGCTAGGAGAAATTATCTTTTGTGGCTGTGACATTTCACCCAGGATAAGCTATGCTTAGGCCTAGATAGATAGTTTAGAAATGCCTGCATATTAGGACAGTATCTTCTGCAAACTCCAGGCTTGGTTCTTAACTCAGAGTGCATCTATTTCACCGGGCTCTGCTAATCATCCCAAGCCTTCCTTTCCTCATGGAAAAATACTCTGTACTCCCAGATTTGAGGATGAATCACCCTCAGAAGCATCAGGACACTGAAGCCCTGGAAAAAGGAACAGGTAAGATGGGAAGTCCCAGAAACCAGGGAACTTGGCTGCAAGTGTTACCTTTATTTATTTCATATATATATTTCCAGAAGGACAACGGTTGACTGGTATTAAAACCAAACCAGTCCATCAGAATCATTGACCAAAATGAGAATTTCCCTGTTGGGCCATTAGGGTTGGAGTCTTATTAACCCTTCCCTATTCCTCTGGCCCATAATGCATTATGAGATAGAGGAGAAGAAACCAGGCACAGAAGACTCTCCCTCTCATGCTTTAACCCCATACCCTGTGCTCCACTTAAGGAGGATGTCTCCCCAGTTCTTGCCACTCCCACAATCAGAGCAGGTGAGGTTCACAATTATTCAGCCTCATCTCCAAGGAACCTTTAACCGCAACAGAGATCCTTGGGCCATTATGAGATGCTACTTTTTAGTTCTTAGTTATAGGAATATAAAATCACGTAAGAAAAAGCAAACAACACAAATACATGAAAGCCATTTACTCCTGGTGAATTCCTCGGGGTCCCAGGTTCAACACTTTCCGTGATGTCAGAGTACTCAGTCAGGGATGATGGGAACAGGGTGTCAGGAGAATAGTTTTGATGGTCTTGCCAGCAACAGCTTTTTCTTATTTTCCATAATTTGGTCTTAGCCGTTTTCCAGTTGTCTTCATGTAAATGAAGTGGCCCATGGCAATCATGATTCTGTAATTGTTACAGTGCCTTTGTAACTTGACACTGTTCCCAAATCCCCTTACTCACACTGCCCCTGTGACGGGGGTGTGAAGGGGTTGGTGGGCTTGTGCATATGAGGAAATGTGAATGATTTCATTATGACCGAATATGCTTTACTCAGTAAGTACTCAAACGCTACCACCTCACTTGCAGTAGAAGTGCTAGGGACGAAACCAAGAGACTGGCTGAATAATGGGAAGGTTAAATGCATGAGTATTTTAATAGAAAAAAATATTAAAAACAAAACCAGAACTCGTATGGAAAGAGGCTTCTGACTAGGCCCTCCTTTCTAGCAGTTTGGCACCTGATAACAAAATTTGACATTGGGGGAGGGAGCAGCTTGACAAGGTCCACATGAAGCAGCCTTGAGATTTTTCGCCCACTTCCATTTCTCCTCAGCATCAAAGGAAAGTGCATGGTAAGAAGTGAATGAGACAGCGAGGGATTTATACAGTTATCCTGTGAATATGTGGCAAAGCCATCAGGACGCAAATCTCCTGTCTTGAGTTCAGAGCTGTGTGCTTTAAGATTTGACCCCACTAAAGACAGAATCCTTCAGGCTGGTCCCTTCCCAAACCTAAGGGGCTGTCCTTGGCCACTTTCAACCTGAAGCTGTTGAGCAGTCTTTAGGATACGTAACAGCCTATTTTTTGGACGATACAGTAACCACAACCTCTTAAGTCTCTTAATTCTCCTACTTTATACCCATGAGGTAGAGGCAGGCGCACTCCAGTGAAGGAGAAGCCTCAATTCAGGTTGTACTTTGGATGAAACATCCCCTCAAGGTGTAGAAGATGATGGAGAGGTTCTGCCCAGGCTCGTATTTAGTTGCAGGAAGAGGTGATGTCAGATCTGGGCAGGTCAGGGAGACTCCCTCGAAAAGGTCTTCCCAGGCTGACAAGAGGGCTTTTCCTATTCCTCACCTCCCTTAGGTGAGGGCTGAAAGCAGATCTCCTCACATGGGGACCTAGCTAGGAGGTCTTTTCTGAGTGGGTCCTCTGATGTCTAATTAAGTGATATCCTCTGCTGAAGCTTTTTCCACAGGTAGGGCACGTGAATGGTTTCTCCCCAGTGTGTGTTCTCTGATGCCTGACGAGGTGGTCCCTGCGACTGAAGCTCTTCCCACATTCGTTGCATCGGCAGGGCCTCACTGAGGCATGTCCTCTCAAGTGCTTGGCGAAGGCTGCGCTGTGGGTGAAGCAGCGCCCGCACTCGCTGCAGAGGTAGAGCTCTTCGGCAGCGTGCGTCTTGCGGTGCGCCAGGTACCGCCTGTGTTCACTGAAGTCCTCGCCACACTCTCCACACAAGTAGGGTTTGCCTCCCAGGTGGATTCTTTGGTGTGTTGTTAACACAGATTTCTGGCTGAAGCTTTTGCCGCAAATAGTACAAAAGAAGGGTTTTTCCCCTGTATGTGTCCTCTGATGCCTGACAAGGTCTGAAGTCCAGCGGAAGTGCTTTCCACAATCATCACATCTATAGGGCTTCTCCACAGATGGAGTTCTGTCGGCCTGGGTCAAAGGGGAGGTCTCTTCCAAATTCTTCCGGTTTAGGGGGTATTTATAAGGCGCGTTCATCTTATGAACCTTTTGGTGCCTGGCAAGATGTGAGCTTCGTGTGTAACTTTTTCCACACTCCATGCATTTATAGGGTTTCTCTCCCGTGTGAGTCCTCAGGTGTCTAACAAGATGGGAGTTACAAGTGAAGCTCTTTCCACACACAGAACAGTCATGATGCCTCCCTAACAGGGTCTGGATGGGCGTAGTTTCCCGAAGGTTCACAAAACTATTCACTTGAGAAATACTTGTACCAAATCGTCTTTCATTAAGTCCACCTGGATTGTCCTCGAAGACTATTTCCCAATCTGGAGTCTGGTGAATTTCTGGTTCTCCCAAAATAGGCCTGTGTATATCCTCCACACTCAGATCTTCCTGCTCCGGACACTCTTCCTCATCTTTACTCCTATCTCCTGTAGAAAGGGTGAGAGGAAAAAAGGGGTCATTGTAGTGGCAACAATGCCTTCTACACAACGGGGACATTTTTAAAAAGGGGTTTGAGACAGCAAGACTCAATGGAATGCCTGTCCTGTGCCAAGCACTTTCTCATATTGTTATGCTATCAACAAACCTTGGTATGCAGAAATATAATCTTCATTTTGTAAATGCAGAGACTGAGAATTGAGGGTTTAAGGGAATTGTACAGTAAATGGTATATCTGTAATTCCAAAAGTTAGCATTTTTCTTTCACCCTTTTGTATTACATTGCTATCAGACAAATGATGGGAGGAGAAAAGAGGAGGAAAATGACAGAAGAAATGGCTGTCAGAAGGAGAAAGCAGTACTGGCTGACATGTTAGAAGAACTGATGAGAGCGGGGCCCTACAGAGAGAGAGAAGCACTGCCTAGAGGAACTGCCGGCTCAGGGTGGGTAAGACCCTTTTTGTCATTCCTCACCTGTGTAGGTAAAACTCAGGATTTCTGGCTCTTGAGTCTCTTGAGGCTCTTGGATATCTGGGACCCAAGGCTCTTCCTCTCTAACCTGGGAGATCTCATCAGGTCTGGGGATTGGAAATGCTGCTCAAGAGAGGGAAAATAGGATATCACGATTGGCTCAACAATTCCCTGTGTTAAGAGTGGACCTTTTCTATTTGGTAGGTTGTGGAGCAAATACATAGCTAGCTCAGGTCATGAAATCTTTCATCTCTTTAGTTTGTGTACTTTTAACCAAGGACTGCACATCTCTTGTCTTTCTTGTGGTTTTCTTTCACCTGCAACTCAATAATTACACCGTTGTACACCTTATCCTCTTTTCCCATACTCAAGAAAGATTATCTCCAACTCTTGTTTTAACACTCATGTGCTTACTTCAAATATTTCTGCACTAAAGCTGTAATATTACAAGTTTGTTTCCCTATTAGAGGTTTCCATTTCCAAACATTTATCTTTTACTTGAAAGGACACCATATTTTGCACCTAATCCCTCAATTTTATTGGTGGGGAGGGCATAAGAGAAGTTCACTGCGTACAATCTAAGGTCTAAGATCCCCCAAAATTTCCAGCAGGAAAAAGATCTCTGGGCTTAGAATACTCTAGAATACTTGAAATTCCTTACACAGAGAGACTACAATTCCACAATCTTCTTCCAAGACATATTCTCCATAGAACTCTTTCTGTGTTGGGTCCAGATCACTCCACTGGTCCTGGGAAAAGCATACGGCCACATCCTTGAACGTTACCAGTCCCTGAAACCACACAAGGATTTCATCAAAATGTGACGCTACAGGTAGCCTTGCATTTTGTACCTGTTGAAAGTCACACAATAGGAAGACTCCATCTAGGAGACGAAAGGAGCTCAATTGGCGGGCTGCTTAAACTCATTCTCACGGGAGCTGTGTGTCCCCTAGCGTCCTGCACTGGCCCTGCCCCCTCCAACTCCATCACTTTCCCTGAGGACCAGCTTATGTTCTTCTTCTTTAAGGTACTGCTTAAAATTTAGGGAAGGTCTTAAAAATCATCATCCCTACTTGACACTTTAACGCTATATACATTTCTGCAAAATTTATCTTTTCTAGTCAACTTTCCTGAACGACTCTAATCACTTTCAATAGTTTCTACACTCTATAGCCAAAACAAGACTTTTTTCCTCAGTTAGATTACAATCTAAAACCATACATGAATTCTATTTCTTTTTCTCCAGCCACACGGCTTATTCAGGGCTTTGATCATGGTGAATACTTGCTAAATGTCTCAGCAGTATAGTCTGTCATACTTACAAATGACTATCAGATTTATTCCTTAAAAAAAAACCTAGAAAACCCTCATTTGACAACTTCGAAGTTGTACTGGAGTGTTACAAAATCATCTCATTTTGTCAGCTTTTCTAGTCAATGGCAAATAAATAGGCGTTGGCGCCTACGGATCCAATAGAGGGTATGATAATTTATCTCATTATCTCCTCCCCTTTCTCCTCCCCTTCCAGGCATCTGCAGAACTGTGAGCTTAAAACTGGCAAGAGTGTAAATGTGTATCCTGCTTCACCCGTTTAGTATGGCTAATGCCCAGTGGCTCTTCAAACAAACTCTCTGTGGCACAGAGGTAATTAGGGCACACCTGTGATAGAGCAGTAAGAAGAGCAACCATCTCTGAGTCTCCAGAGCTCCTTTCTGCGGGAAGGTCTGGCTCCTGGGGCACTGGGACCTCTATGAAGAAAAGAAGGCAAAGATCAGTAATATGCAGCATGCCCCAATAATGGACAAAAATCTAGGCATCCCCCACCATCTTTGGTAAGAAGGTGGCCCTATCCTTCCTATTATGGGAACCAAGACACAGGCCTAAGGGTAGCTCCCATATCCCACACCCATCACCTATAAGACCATCAGAATGCCAAGAGAACAAGCAACAAGCTGCTATCTAAGCTTGGCCATGTTTTTAGGGGACTCTAGCTGGTGGTTCTGTCTCCTCTTGACATCCTGGATTCTGTGATTTCTTTCCATGCAGTCTACCCAGCTTCCTTGGAACAGGAGAAACGTCCCCCTCCTTGCCTGCCTTCTGCCACAATCCCCCCTTTCTGCTGAGGCTTCCCACCGCTCTCCTGCAGGGACTGGAGCTCCTCTTCCTGGTGTGGACGCTGCTCTGCCGGTGCCCCCCGATCTGGGCTCTGTGTGGTTTCCTCAGGAGACTGTTGGGGTGTCGAGCTTTGCACAGGATCCTGTAGCTCACTAGGTGACTCAGGCTCCGCTCCTAAATGCACCGTCTCCTCTGACAGGACTTCCTGGCCGTGAACATGGACAGTCACCTGGGAATAATTCCAACTTCCAGTCACCATGGAGTCAGGAGGAAGTTCTTGGTTGTTATGGGAGCTTATTTTAGGAGAAGATGTCTAGAGAAAACACTCCCAGAGGGACTCAGACAAGGAGGGGAAACTCCAGTTCCAACGCAGCAGGCAAGGAGGAGCTGAAGGTTATCCTCCCCAGGACGAGGCAGGGGATGTGCAGGCCTGCAATGCTCTCTCACCACCCCCAGCCTTGGCCCCCGTCACCCAAGGCTCCTTCCCATCTCCACCTGTCCCACCTGTAGCTCTCCTTGCTGCCTGCTTCCCTAGCTGACCAGCCAGGAAGGGGGATCTGTGACTGGGGATCTATGAGAACCTTTGAGGATGTCACAAAATTCTCCTCTCCAGGAACCCAAGGCTCAACATTCAAAGAAGGGAAAACCAAAGCCATGACCCTTTGGTGGCTGAGACCCCTCAGATGGTCCCTACACAGGTGTTCCAAAATCCAGAAAGTCACATTCATACACACACATCCCCCTAATCCGTGGGGCTCATGGATCTATGAGCAACCCGAGGGCAGAGCCCATGAATAATTTATGGGGATCCTGCAAGCCCTCCCCCAAATCCAGCCTTCCAGCAAATAGTCCCCCTCCACATCACACAGATCAGGACTCCCCCTCCTCACCCACCGCCTTGGTCTCCTGGGTTGTTTCTGCAAACCCTCCACCAGCGTCACCGCCTCCTCGCCACTTTCTGGCCGTTGGCCCCGCACCCAGCTCTGTAGTTCTCCGGGCAGGACGGTAAGAAATTGTTCCAGCACAAGCAGCTCTAGGATCTGCTCCTTTGTCCGCCTCTCTGGTCTCAGCCACTGGTGACAAAGTTCTCGGAGTCTGATGAGAGCTTCTCTAGGGCTTGCGGCTTCCTGATAGCGGAAGCGCCGGAAGTTCTGGTGGGAGGTCTCCAGCACTGGGTCATCCCTCTGTAAGACAGACTCTGGCCTACAGGTGAAATCATCTTCCAGTTTCACCATCAGAATTCCCTCTTCTTCCCAAAGATCCTGGTCCTCTGGTTCCACGGCTGTAGCCATTTCTTGGCTTTGGGGTGGTCTCACACCATCTAGACCCCAGCCTCAGCCTGGACACAGCGAGGATTTTCTCCCAAGGGCCCTGGATAGAGAAGTAAAGACAAACAAGAGTATAAGCATGAAACTATACACAAGGACAACACTCTGAGTTCAATCATAATCCCCTATACAAACTTCTTCAAATGGTTAAATCCTCTTTTCCCCAACCTCCATAACCACAAATCAACACATCCAGTTGGGAGAGGACAATCCACGACTAAAGGTGTGGTCCTCTATCCCCCTTCCTAGGCGAGGTTCATACTCCACGAGAAAATACTGCATTTCCACTTCATGAATACTGCCAATTCCATCTCTCAAGACTTCAAATCGGCTCCCTCCTCTTCCTTCCTACAGACCGCTTTAGTTTCAGCCTTCATCATCTGCTGCCTGGACTACTGCTCTAACTTCCTGAGATCCCTGCAGTACTCAACTATGAGCAAAGTGCAACAGAATTACCTGTGGAGGTTTTGCAAAACACAGTATCACACATTTTTCAGACACTCTGATTCAGTCAATCCAGGTAACTGTATGTTTAGAGATGCTACATGCAGTTCGAAAGTGTATCCATGGTTCAGAAACACCAACCATGAGGGAGGTGTGTAAGGTTATGAGCGAAAGTTCTGGAGTCAAGCTACCTGTGTTTGAATCCTGGCTCTATCTCTTACTAGGTATTTCCAGAGTGAGACCATAGGCAAGTTCTCATTCTCCTTATGCTGGTTTCTCTGTCTACAGAAGGGAGATAATAATGGTTTTCATCTAATAAATTTACTAGAAGGATTAAATGTACTACTGTCTTTGCTTAGAAGAGTGATGGCACCAGCGGTTATCTTCCTATAGTTCCAACTATATTACTCAATATTTTAAAACAAAACCTTTTTAATGTTAGTAAAATCAGTTCCAAAATCCTGGGAATGACACGAAGCTCTTTACAATTAGCCCCCAAGCTATTTTTCAAGCTTCAGATCCTACCTTTTCCCTGTATTGCCTGGTTATCTGGTTATCAAAAATGTATTGCTGATCTTCCTACAACAGGGTGCCTTTTCAGCCCTCCATGTGTTTTTGAAGGTTGTTCCTTCTGCACAGACTACCCTCCACCCTTCCCCTTTCCACGCTACATGGTGTGTTCTTTCTTTTTAACGGGTCTTGTCTTCTTTATTCCCATGATTTACAGCTTAGGTCCCTCTCACTTCTCATCTGGATGACTGCAACTGCCTCCAAATGTAAGCTACCTGCCTCCAGATTTGTCACCTTCACATTCCCACTATGACCAGTAGGAGCGCTACTGCCAAATGTGCTCATGTCCCTTTCCTATCTAAGATCCTTCCATCACTCCCTGCTGTCTTGTTAAGTGAAACACAAACTTCAAAGCATTCTACACTAAGTTGATGTTCATCTTGTTATTCTCTTCGCCCTTCTCTCCAATCCTTTCAGACATCACACATACACGTATGTACATGCAAAGCACACGAGTCCCATGTTCTTTAGCATTTGAACATGCTGTTTCTTCTGATTCTTTATCCTTGCTTAGGTTAAACTTTAAATTTTTCAAGACATAAGCTCAGGCTTCATGTCTTCTGAGATGTTTTCTTTGATCCCATTTCCCCTACTCTTAGACATGGTTAGAAATCACCTAAGTCCTCTCATAGCGACCTGGGCACCTCTCTATCCCAGTATCGGTCATATTACATAGCCATCGCTTATCTTTCCTGTGAAACTCTTTGAAGTCAGGAAGCATTTTCCATCAATCTCCAATACCTATAATAAAGTGCACAATAAATGCATGTAAAATGAATAAAACTCTCCTCCAAAGCTCTTCCTATTGTAACAGGAAGAACCATTGTTTCCTCCATTATGCTTTTACTATCTTTTCATTATTCACCATATCCTGTTAATTCCACCTTCTAAAAAATGTCTTTTGAATCCATCTCTTCTAAAAAATGTCTTTGCTCTTTGAGATCCATCTCTTCTAAAAAATGTCTTTTGAATCCATCCTTCTAAAAAATGTCTTTTGAATCCATCTCTTCTAAAAAATGTCTTTTGAATCCATCTCTTCTAAAAAATGTCTTTTGAATCCATCTCTTCATCTCTACTGCCATTCCCCCGGTTGAGCCATTATGACCCACTAGAAGGTATTAATAGGAACTTAAAAAAAAATTACAATATCCTCTGCTCCTCAACAGCACTGGCTCATAACAGGCACTGATACACTGGAGAGATGACTTAGTTCAACCTCCATGACTGGTTTTCTTCATCCTGTCCCCCTCCAGACCAGTGTCCACAAGCAGTTTAAGGGCTCCTTCATTTCTCAATCTTTTTTATGCTATACTACAATTGCCTCACATCCACATTCAAGATTATTGATCCACTCTTAACAGCTGTGTCTCATCTGTTGTTGCCCATCAGATGAGTTTATAGTCAATGACAATATTATCTTCATTCTTTCTCAAACCCTTTTAATTCACGCTCTTATGACTTTTTTTTTTTCATTATCCTCAATCACTTGCAACATACTTTCATAGTCTATTTTGGATAGCTCCCTAATTCCTTGATTTTCATGTGCAATTTTTCCTCTGCTGTCTCTACCTCATGGTGATTTACTTTTTTCTCAAGTGGCTTGCAATTTTTCATTTTATGCCCATCTTTTTACTTTGGGAGTCCTGAGAGCCCTGGATTTAAATGTGAGCCCCTTGAATGTAATTTCATTTGTTTTTTCCTAAGTGTTAATGGTTTCAATGATCTTGGACAATTTGCTTTTTTAAGACTCTCCCTCTATTGCGCAGGCTGGAGGGCAGTAGTGCAATCATAGCTCACTACAGCCTGGAACTCCTGGCCTCAAGTGATTTTCCAACCTTGGCCTCCCAAAGCACTGTTACCACAGGCTGAGCCACGGTGCCTGGCCAAATCAGTTTTTATGTTAATTTCCCAGAGTGTTCCTGAATAACGTTTTTGTGTATTATTTAGACCGATGCCTTCAAGTAATGTTTGGCCTACCCAAGGCTCTGGAGAACCTACTTCCTTGTACTTTTCCTGGGTCAGTGGGAAGATGTTCAAAGGTCCAGGTTTGCAGGCTGCTCAGTTCTGTAACTTTCACACAGCGTCAGCTGCCCAAGTCCTGTCTCCCTGTTGCAGTACCAGTATTAAAAGCTCAAACCCTAGAAACCTTATTTTGGTTTGGAATCTCACTGGGCCTTAGTGAAGTCAGCTTATACTTATTCTTCTAGTGGTTATTTCTTTTTCCTTCTGGAACCTATATGCTTTCCTTTAGCTTTTGTGAGACAGAGAGAGAGAGGGAGAGACAGCAGGGGCAGACAGGAACAGGATTTAATAATGGGCAGGAGGCCCATCCACATTAGCTCCACCTGCAATACTCCAAGTAGGTAAGTGGTGAACTTCCTAACATACAAAATCTGCCAATGGCTTCCCAGTGACCTTAGGTTAAAATGTAAACTTCTGAAAACGTGTGATACACAAAGCCCTTCAAAACCTGGTCGCTGCTACCTCTCTTTCCTTCCATGACTGCCACTCCCATCGAAAGCCACTGCTCGAATTACTGTTCTTTCTTTTCTATACCCTCCCTGGGCTTTCCTGATGCTGTTCACCCTGTCTGAAGTACCCTTCTCCACTCTCTTCATGTGGTTAACTCTACCCATCTTTCAGATCTCTGTTTTTCCAAGATGCCTTCCCTGGTCCTCCCAGATGATGCTTCCACAGGAACTTGTATCTCCCCCTATCACAGCACATACATGTGTTTATTTTTTGTGTCATCAAAATTGTTCATCTTCTGTTGAACTCACTGGACTGTAAAGTTCTGAGGGCAGGGACATGCTGTGCCCAGCTCGATGCTTGGCATCCACCAGGCACTCACTTCATATTTGACGAATGCAGAGAATGCTTAGTAAGGTTTTAAAAGTCTGTTTCCAGAAGGATAGATACCATGTCACATTAACCCATATTCATCCGTAAGTCTAGCAAACTGTGTGCTGGATAAAGGCATACACAGGGAAAAAAACATTTATTGTTTGGATTGTGAATAAAACAGAATTCTCTTAGTGGTTCCCAAGGTGATGGAACCACAACTCATCACAAGAAATCTTCAGGTTGCACCAGGAATAATCCAAATGCAAGTCACACAACACTGGGCATTTGAAAAAAAAATCATTTTCCATTGAGGATTCAAATCAATTTTAATAAGCACAAAATCAGACATGAAATAAATGGAACTACAATACTGATTATTTATCCAGATAAAGCTTTCCAACCCTCACCCCAACTCCTACCCCTGGAAGACGGAATTAATACCTAGGGTCTTCTGGCTTAATAAAAGGACTTCTAGTATCTTAAAAATTTGAGAACCGATGTCCAGTGAAGTAGACTTGGAATCCTCATTGTTTTCATGTAGCACTAGATACAAGAGATTCCACAGTATGGATCCTACAACGTATGCATTGACAGAAGAGTTCCTGCTCTCTCAGAGGGCTTTGCTCTCCAAAGAAAAAAGAACATGTAAGAGTGCCACACCAAACTGGCCATTTAAAAACGCCCTTCAGAAATCACAAGCTGAGATTTCTGTTGCTTGTTTTGCATTTCCTTTGGCAGCCTAGGAAGACGAAGGAAAACAGATCAGCAATCGAAGGAATGAAGGAAGGAGTCTTGGTGGGGTAAGAGATGGGAAATGAAGGAGCTACAGCAGTGCTGTGCCCAGCACCAAACTGGGTATCCAAAGATGTACGTCCCAGCCCCAGATCCCCAAGAAACTGGAGCTTCCCTGAGGGTTTCATGAAGTAACATACACAAGAGCCCTTGTAAACGATAAAGCCCTCTGCAGATAACCAGTCTACTAACTCAGTGATTATCTGAGATGTGAGCTTTATGAACTAAAATGTGTTGTGCAAATGTCAAGTATTAATATTAGAGGCAGAAAACAGATGTTGCGTTTTTATTCTATAATTAATGGGATGTGCTATGCCACAAGTATACCTTGCAATTTGTTGCCTTTGCTATTCTAATACCTTTCTTCAATTTCTGTCCTTGGAAGAGTTTCAGAGTAAGATAAAAACTGTAACAAGAATAGAGAGAATATGAAACCAGGCCAGGATTAAGTAAGAGACTTGGTTCCAGAAGTTCCACAGGAACTTCTTGTATCCAAAGATACAACCTAGTGTCTTGAGTGTTCCTAGGATGCACAGGATTGGAGAGGAGCTATGAAGGTAAGACCTTCATACACTCCTCAGGCCAGCTGTCTCTGCCCCTTATCTGAAGGTATCATGTGGCAGTGAAGACCCAAGATCAATTCTCTTACAAGAACAGAAAACCACAGGCAATGAAAGAATATCTAGTTCTCTACCTTAAAATGCTACTACCTAGGGTGATCTTTCTAGACCCTAAATGACAAAGTCTGTAGTCATATACTGTCAACCTAAAGGAGAGACAGTGATCTTCCTATTTACTGGAAAATAATCTTCAGAAGAAAACAGTGATTAGAACTGAAATTATTACATTTAGCAGGTATGTATATCCCTTCCAGTCCCCATCTTATTTTATACCTTAATGCAGGCCTATAATTTGGGAATTTTAATATGGCTACTTGCTGGGGCTAACCAGGGCCTGTCAACAGCTCCTCTCAGTGTTCTAGAATAGAAATTGACTAATAAAAACTGTTAACCACTCTTTTCCAATGCTGCTGCTGTTCTCTAAAACAAAAGATTAGCCCGGTACAATCCTTCTAATGGAGATATTCTTTTATTCTTAATTGTCCTATATACAAGCGCTTATCTAAGCTTTCCACGCAACGGTTAGGGACCTTGGAACACTGGGTTTGAATCCCTGACCTCGCTCATTAGCCTTGTAACACAACTTCCCTAAGCCTCAGTCTTATCCCCAAAAATGCGACTAATACTACCTATCTCATGTGGTGGTTTTAAAGAGTAAATGAAATAACCTATAGAAATCCTTCAACATAGAGTATGGCATAGGGTAGGTGCTCAATATATTTTATTCATTTTCCTTCAAGCTATTTGAAATCCTTTTGGGAAGAAGGCAAGATTTAAATGATAAACAAGCAAACAGTTCTTTACTGCATCATAATTACAAAAAAATAGATGGCATAAGGAAAATCTTGATCTGTCTATTGTTATATCAAAGAAACCATGCTAAACCAAAAAACAATCCTTGCTTTGGAGGCACTTTATGAAGTAGGATTAAATGAAAGTGTTGAAATACAGATGAGAAGGAACTTTAAACACACATTCTCCCACCGAAGACCACATCAGCAATGCTTCTAATTACCAATATATCAAAACCCTCTCCACTCCCTGTAACTGGCAGGAGACAATCTGAGGCAAACTCAGTGTACCAAGAAGACCTATGAAAACTTAACCTAGATGGCACAATGAATGAAAGGGAGTGAATTCCCTGGCTTTTGGCCTTCTAACACATGACCAGTATGCTTCAGACCATGTTTAAAACTGTTTTTGTAATATATTTTTGCCACCTAAGTTTTTTTTTCCCCCCTTCATAAAAGTGATATTTGAGTAGCGAGGGGAGAAATGGCTCAAAACTTGTTACAATAAGTTCCAAAGAAAGAGAATAAGGTATAGAGAAAGGGAAGACAGGAAGAAAGAAAAAGAGGTCAAGTATGTAGTAGGTGGTACAGGGAAGTCAGTGGATGCTAAGACACAAGTATCTTCTGCCTGGAAATGCTGCAGATTTTGTGGTCAGCCTCAAGATATTAGGTGGGAATAAACATGTCATTGAGAGTAAATGTAAACACTAAAATGAAAAATAAAAATTGTAACAATTCACTTTATTCTTAACTAAAATGTTTTTGATGGTTATATATGGCAGGCCTAGGAGGCAATGTTAGCCAGTAGATAGCTGCCTTTGGGGGAGGGTGACCTGTGTTCTGTCCCCTGCTCTACGTTGTAAAGAGGTGTCATTTTGGACAAGTCACAGCAG